CTTTCCAGGCATCTCTTTGTCTTTCATCTCCCCTGTAGCCAGGTCCCATTCTCCAAAAAGTGACAGGCGATTCAGGGGAAAGAGGCAGGCTACCGTGCTACATCAGATCTGCTTCCCACTGCAGCTCTCTGCCACTTCTCCCTCTGCTGTCAGCTCCTACTTTTTGTTGGCCTTCCTCTGCGTTAAGCTCTCCTGGAAGCTGATGTCACAGTGCTCTGTAAAGCAGCATTCTCACCTGTGCCTGTCTGTAATGCTTACAGTTTTTATTTATTCACAGTGGGAGGCCATGGCTTGTTCTGGTGATGCAATTACTCCTAGAATTTACAAACCCTCAATGTGAGACTGGCTCATGGGCACCACGGGAAATGTGTCCTGCAGCTTCAGCAGGCTGCACAGATTGGTACTGCTTGGATGCCTAGAAATGAGCTTAAGCTGGGGAATCCCTGTGTGAAAATGTGATGATCATAGCATGGAATGACTTTATCAGGCATTGGGTTGTGCAGACACACACACGCACGAGGTTTCTTTTCATTCTCATTAGCATCTCTGCTCCTCTTGTTGTCTTACCTTCTTCAGCAGAAGGCTGTGACCCAACTACCTTTAAGCATACAAAGTCTATGGTTAGACTGTAGTTAAAGAAAAGTCATATTTCAAAGAACTGAGCTCAGCAAAAGAAGCATACACATCTACATTATTGTATCAGATGCTGAGAGCAGCACAAGGCTGTGCCTGCAGAAAATGGAAACAAAACAAACAACCTGTACAAACAAAGGTCTCCTGCCATGGTAGTTTCAATTCCCCATAAGCCTACATCACTGAGAAGACTCCACACCAGTGAATTTGAAAAACGGTCAGCAGAGCAGTTCTGCGCAGGTACTCAAATCTGCCAAACGTCTCCTGCAGCAAGAGGATGTGGGTGGGTAACAGACAGACACATCCTGTGCAGGAGTTTACTGACAGTTTCTTGCTAGATTCTCCTGCCTTGTTTCTGGCTGCATTTCCCCGTGTGGAGCCAGTTTGGCAAAGACTTTGCTGTAAGCCATTCAGTGCTACATATAGCTCTTTCCTTTCACCAGCTGCATCTGCCCAAGGAAAAACAGGCTGACTGTTCTAGCACAGCCTGCGAGCCTGTAACGAAACTCCCCTATCCTCTGTAATATATTATCTGCATACATGCTGAGCAGCAGAAGCAAGGTCCAAACCGTGCCAATCTCTGCAATAGCAGACACTAACCAGGAGGATGGCAACTTTCACAAAATCAGGCTGAGGCAGTACTAACCATAGCAGGATGGGGCCAGCCAGCGGCTGTGCCTGTGTACAGGTGCTCTCTGGTTTAACAGTGTGGACTGACACAGCAAATGTCCTGAACTTACTGACTACTGCATGCAGACAGACTTCAGCCTGACTCGGCTGCTGCTGATGTTCACAGAGTGCCCCTGCTGCCTGTTGGTATCAGCAAATTCCATGGTTTTTTGTCAGATGCAAGAGCACAAGTATGTTTCCACATCAGCCAGGCTGCTGGGCTTGGACAGGGCTAGCCTGCTAAGAACATTTAAATGTCTACAGATGCAGAACTGTCTTCTTGGTAGAAGACTAATGTCCGGGCATGCAACCAACTATCAAAAGACGCAGTGTTTGCTCATGCCACGTAAAGAAATTATCTACACACTGTATAAAGCAAGAAGAGTCATGAGAACAGAAATTCACCCAATTCTTCCAGCATCTCTTTACAAATTCACTGAGAGTCACATCTCTCTACAAGGGTACAGGAAAGGAGCCTCCCTCTACTGGTCCCTGGGCCACTCCTGATGGCAACAGTCCTTGCTGGTAGACCTGATGTACAAAGAGCAGATGACAGACCGTGTTCACACTGAGCAGCCCAAGTCCTCATGGACTGGAAGTAAAAGGTTGTGCTGCATTATGGAACTTGATCTTGCTGCATGCAGGGCCGTCAGCCCGTATGCTCCCCTTGCCCCAAGGGACTGATCCAGCTTACAGAGAAGCACTATGCACAGCATGCCTCCTGCTCAACACACAGCCCTCAGGGAAACAAGGGTCTTGAGCTTTGTCATGGCTTTGGAGGAGTGACCCTGCAGAGAAACCATCAGCTCACAGGAACATCTCAGATGCTCCTGTCTGGTCTGGCATGTGCATCTGTTTCATGATCCCTCTCAGTGGCACAGCATGAACCTGCAGGGAAAGTCACTCTATTGAAATCAACTGCTTTTGTTGGCTCTGTGTATCTGCAGAACTCTGCAGTAAGCAGGATGGAAACCTGCAGTAACATCAGTTCCTTTTCTACTAGCAGCTACAAACACTTGATAGAACACACTGCTCATTCTGACACAGGGCCTCACTGCCTGCCTGCATGTCCATCCTTGGTTTCCTATAAAAACACAACTGATTGCCGGATGGCTCAATCAGATCAATCTGCACCTTTCTGCTCCACCTGTTCTTCTTCCAAATTTATGGGCCCACATGCATGTGAAGCATGTGAAACAGCTAAAAAAAGGGAATCTGAAAGCAAAACAGCAAGACTGCTTCCCAGCAGCATCTGCTACTTGAAGCTAAGGAGGTTGACAGTAACACTCTGCCCAGTTTTAGAGCAGCCTGTGTCAGTCTCCAGTAGCATGTCCTCAAACCACAAGTGAAAGCAACTGATCCCCTATGAAGGCATATCTGCTCCAATTATTACAGCAGGGGAAAAAAATGACACCTTCTGTTATATAACCAATAGGCTGTCTGATTTGGTTTGCCCCTGTTGCTATCCAGCAAGCTCCCTGCTGTGTTAAAGACTGGTGGCATTTGCTGAAAAAAATGTCAAGAGTGAGAGGAACAAACCTTGATGGCAAATCACAAAAAGCATTCAATGCCATTGGAAGAGCCAAGGGGTGAGTCCACCTCTCTTCACGTCCCAGCCCAGAGAAGTGCTGCACAATCTGTAGCTCTACTCATACATGAAACATGAATACCGACTTACAGCAGCAGGCAAGCACCTACAGCTACCAAGAAAGGAAGCAGTGCATCAAAAAGAGATGATGTAAAAGGACTGCTATGGAAGTCGTCTCCCTCTGGCTCTCAGAAGTCAGGAGAAGGTAAAGTTAACTCTGCCCCCTTGTGCATCTGCTTCATGATACAGTCTGCAGCTTAGAGATGATGTACTCCTCTTCACCAGCGTTTGATCCAACTCTCTGCCACCTGCATTGTGGAGCCCTGGGACTCTTCTATGAACATCTCATGCCTGGCTGTGCAGAGACAGCTCTTGCTCAGCAGGATGAGGAAGGGCCACAGAGTCTCCCCAGGAATCTCTTCAAACAAAGAGGCTGAAGTAGCTGGTTAGGCACAAGGGCTTGTTCCTCAATCCTCTCCACTTCTGCAGCTGTGAGCCTTTAAAAAAGGAGTTTAAGTGGTCTGCTGAAGACAGCAGTGCTGTTCAATTCGCAACCTCACAGATCATGACTCCTGCTGCCAAAACAACAGGAGTTGTTTTATAAATTATGTGATCTCTAATAATGAATTGCCAAAGACTGGGGAATTTTTCAAAGATGCCCCTAGTCTTTCCGTGGAAGCACTTCAAGTTTTTCTTCATTAGAGAGAGAATTTCTTCCTTCTTGATTGAATAAGAGAATCTCTGTAATAATACCTATCTAAGAACTGATGCTTCAGGACAGTGCTGTGACAGCCTCGGAACACAAAATGCTTCTCTCCTTCCATGGCTGATACAACACAAAATTTCTACCCTATCTGCTTTAGCGTAGATATTTATGTATGCACTTATGGCCTTGATTTGGGGGAAAAATCACGTGTGCAATGGTAGATCTAATTAAGACAGATATATTTATCAAGTACCTGAACTTTCACAGCTGTAGACTCACACACACGTGGCTGAAATCATCCCCACAAAGCTCTCCCAGTTTCAGCAAACCAAGCATGACTCTGATCCAGCAGTGCATTTCCTCTGCAAACAGCCTCCTTCCTGCTGCCACAGCTCAGGCTCCTCACCAATCGTCTGCCCACTTTCTCCCCAAGTCAGGTTCGTGCTGCCACTGCTCCTTCCCACCCCACTCACCTCTCCCTGCACCCACACAGGAAGCCCCAGGGGCTGGGAGGTGGAGAGGCAGGAACAAGACACACATGTGGTCCCCACCTCACATGGCTCATGAGCTGGGCTGAATGCAAAGCAGTGCCAGGGCCTTCACCAGCACGCCTGGGTGTTGGGAGGTTGGTCTCAAATCCATCATGTTCCTACAAGGCCAACCAGTGACTCCCAGGCTCAGTGAATGCCATTGCTTTCTCCTGTGCTTGGCAATCCTTGGCAAACAACCTTTTCTCTCCTCCTTCACAACCCCTGGGGCCACTTCTGTGCTCTGTAGGGGCCTCTGCCTCTCCTCAGAGGCAAAGATGGGACCTCTGCATGCACAAGGCCAGCAGGAGGCTCTCCAAAAGAGTTGGAGCAAGTTACACAGGTGCCCAAAGGCAAGAAGCAGGAGCTCAATCTTCTGTAGAGCAGGATGGTGGCACGGCAGAACAGCATGCATGGCCTCCCTGCGAGCAGCACTGTCCCCAGCCAGCAACCAACATCTCCCATGCCTTCACACACGTCACTCTACTGACGATTTTCTGTCTCTTTGTGTTTAGGGACACTTCCCTGGCTTTTATTTTATTCACTTTATTTATTTATTTATTTATTTATTTAGATTTCAGGTGTTTTCAGAACCCATACGAGGAGAATTCCCCTCCCTTTCACTGCTGGCAGGGAGATGCCACGTCAGCTGGGAGGAGGCGATCAGAAGCTGTGACACATCCTCTGCCCCCCTTTCTACAGCAGTGCTGTTCTGCAGGAGGCTGCACAAGGATCCCGGGCTGGGCTGCTGCCCCCAAACCAGGCATAGTCCATCACTGGCAGCCCTGCCTCGGCCCTGCCAGCCCCACATGTCCAGCACACCTGAGGGGGCCCACCTCACCAGCTCAGTGCCCCAGGAGAAAACAGCTGCCATTACCTTCATCGCGCTTGCGCTTGTTGCTCTCGGTGCCAGGAGAGGCGATGCCCAGGATCCCACTGATGGAGTAGGACGAGCCAGCAGAGTCAGTGCTGACAGAGGACACCTGGGTCACGGAGCCTGTGGAGGCTGCAAGGCAAGGACAAGAGGTCAGAGCACAGGATGGCACCAGCGCCAGCCTGAAAGGAAAACCACGTGCCACCAGAATGGGAGGCCGGCGAAGGCTTTGAGCGGCAGCAGCCACTCAGGCCCCCGGGCAGATGGGTCTGGGGGCACAGAGAGAGGACAGTGTGTGAGCTGTCTTTCCCAGCATTGTGGGCACACCGATGCTGCACTGAGCCTGCAGCCCAGCACACAGCAGCAAACCCCTGTAGGACACGGGGTGACGTGGGTGACAGGTGGCTGAGAGGCTCTGAGGCTCCCCGAAATAAAATATGAAGTAAATTCATTTTGCTCTGACTTTTTCTCCATGAGAAGCAGCCTCTAGGCTAACAAAGTGGAATGATGCTGCTCAGCCTCCTCAGAGATCATGTTGGCACTTCCAAGCCCATGCTGCCACACTGTTGGAGGATGTCTGTGTGAGCACAGAGCCTGCCCTGGCTAACAGAGGCCAGTGGGGGAATGCCCATTCTGCAGCACGGAGACACGGAGCAGCTGAGGCATGCACAGCACATGCCTGGCTGTGGCAGATCTCCCTGCAGAAAGCCAGGACGCTCCTCTGGATACGGCCCCTCTGGCACTGGCTCCTGGCTGAGCATTGCTGCTCTCCCCCTGAATTGAAGTTTTGGGAAGTTTTGCTACCCATTGGCTCGAGAGCGCAAAGTGCACAAAGAATTATGGAAGGGATGGGTGATAGATGAAAAAAAACACATTCAGAACTACTTACTGACTAATGATGCAGAAAACGTTATGAATAAGTATCCCTTTCTTGATTTATTACTTTAATTATCTGACATTCTATAGACCCCCATTAGTGGGGGGGTTGGTTTAGATTTCAATTTTCTGTCTCACAGTGAAAGCTATTTATCATAATAATCACTAAAATTCAAAACCTTTTAGCAGTATTTATAAAATTCCTTTACTATGTTCAGTCCTTGGAGAATGACAAAGAAGGTGCATTAGCACGTGTGCTGAAGTGTTTTATGCAGAATTATCTGTCCATAAGAATGATTAAAAGTTCTTTAGAATATTTGTAATCCATTATGCTTTTTCTTTTTTTTTCTTTTTTCTTTTTTTAATATAGAAAAGTTTTTCTCACCTATGCTGTGACTGGAGGCTGGGACTTGCTGATTGGGTGGCTGCTGCACCTTGGTCCGTATGATCCTGTTTGTAGTTGAAAAGAAGTAACTTCTTAGTATTAACCATCAATTACAGGGGACATCATACACTGTTTTGTCACTCAGGGATATCCACAGCAACACAAAAAAATTACTCCTGTGCACTGCGTGCAGACCCAGGGCCATATCTGTGCTTCCAGCCCACGCCATTAGGAACATTTGGATAACTGACTCCTGCACGCTCCCTGAGATCCTGCAGTTTGGTGTTTCAGTCCTTGTGAGGTCACAGTCCTTAATGCCTAAGAAAGAAACGTTTTTAGCCGCTTGGGCACCCAGAGGCCTAATGTCTCCTCTCCAGGGAGCCGGACACCCCACCAGACTGCAGCCTGGGCTGCCTGAACACCTTTGTAAATCTGTTCCTAAGCCACCCTGGCTACTGTGCCCACACATCTAAAGAACCCGGTACCACTGAAAAGATTATGCTTAACCAAATTAATACTAAAAACAAAAAAGTGCTGGATTAAATGCTAATCTTAAAAGCTGGATAACCACATTGCCATTGCTGGGGACAGCCTCTGCTCTGAGCTATAATGATGTAAATCAGGAACCGTTCAAAGAAGCAGAAACAACAAAAGGCATGTGTTGTGCTGCAGGACAAAGGGGAGTTGCTAAGAAGTGCTCTATCAAATGCTCACCTGCCGACACGCTGCTAGAAAAGAAAAGACGTGGTCTGAAGCCGCTCCAGGGATTACACAGCTCGTCTGTGGAATCAAAATGTGCTTGAGAGAGGCACACTCCTCAGACACATCACACGTCTCTGTTCTGTGCACCGTTTACGCAGCAGTAATGCTGTGGTAAGCATTTCTCTGTGTTTACCTAGCAAACTCCTTTACCATTTCTGCCTGCCTTGAATTTGGAAGAGGGGAGAATGGGAGGGGAGCTGCGAGAGGTCTGTCAGGGTGACGCTCAAAAGCAAGTTACCACCGGGCAGCCAGGACCAGAGCAAAGCACTCTGCAGTTGGGCATCCCCAGACTTAGCAATGGATCTCTTGCTTCTTCCTGCCCTTCGTGGGACAAAGCAGCCACTTGCATATGGGAGCTACAGGCAGTTAGGCAACTAAGAGAGGGGGCATGGACACTGAAGATGTCCACGGTCCTTGTACGAGCAAGACTAGAGCACCCTGCCCTAGCATTCCTTCGTGCTCCAGCAAAGGAAGGGTGTCTGAGGCCTTCTGACACAAAGAACTGTTCATCTCTGGAGAGACCAGGGACTGGAGCATGTCAAAGCAGCTGGGCAGCTTATTTGAGCAAAGCTAATCATAATGATTAATTAAGCCTTAGTCGTATGGAGTTGCTCCTGCAGCAGAGGATTGGCCTACTATTAATATTAATTAATGTTACTAATTAATAACAGTAGTTATTATTCACTCATATAAGATGGCAGCAACTCAAATTCATCTGCTGAAATGTACCCTCCATACCAGGGATGTGCTACCCGTGATCCATCACGATGCCTTTGCAGTGCACCACTCTGTCCCCTCAGTCTCCCAGCAGCGACAGCACCTCTCCTGAAGACACCAGCATAGCCCTGGGCATCACCTTCCTCCACACAGCAGAAGCAGAACTGGTGGAACACCACTGCAGGTCTGTCCTGCCCTGTACTGCATAGGCTGTTCAGGAGTCTCAGGGCTGGGTCAACTGGCCTCCACCAAGATGGCAAACATCCTGAGTGGCTCCTGGTGAGGATTCACTTCATCAGCCAGAAGGCAACATTGGCTTTCCACCATAGGGCTGAAGAAGGCATTGTGCCTTCAGAGTAGGAGTTCCTGCCCTCAGTGTGCGACAGCGCTATCCATGAAGCCTTGATGTGTGTAAGGACAGACCCCACCAAATGTGCCACAGAAATAAAAGGAGCTGCCATTAAAGCCGAGTGTTTAGACATAATTTCCATGACCTTGTCACAACGGTTCAGTTTGGGTTTTCAAGATATTCTCCGGGACTGGCAAAAACAATTCTAAACAGACTGACTCTCAAAGACCATGTGCATTTCACACGGGGCTTCACATCTTTAAAAAAAAGGAAGGCTCTTAAGCAGAGTTGCAAGCAGATGAGAAAGAATGAGATTTCCACCCAAATAACTTGGCAGTAGGTAATTAAACATCATCTCTGATGCAGTGCCAATGAATGTGTGGACATTGCCAATGTAGAAACATTTGAGGATGCAGCAGGAGGCAGACAGTGGAAAATGGATCAAAATACAACTGGAACGTATGTAGTCCCACTGCATTCCCAAGCTACTACTGCTTTTTTTGGTGGGCTTTTGGACAAAGCTTGAGGAATCGCTACATAGACAAAGTGCTACTCATAGCAGCAGCCATGCTTCTGACACAACAGGACTTGAGCTGACTTTCATGTAAGCAAAGATCCACAGAACTACAGAACTGCCGAATATGCTGTGTTTTAAGGGACCCACAAAGATCACCAAGTTTACCCTTTGTTATCTGCAAACGGCCAGAATGGGATTTTCCTTCACTTTTCATGGTGTCCATACCATACCTCAAATTGTTTTTTGGACTGAAAATGCCGTGTCCCTGGGGGTCCTGGTGGATGACAGGCTGGCAGTGAGCCAGCAGTGTGCTCTGGTGGCCAAGAAGGCAATGGGTTCCTGGGGTGCATTAAAAGGAGCATGGCCAGCGGGGCAAGGGAGGTGATCCTCCCCCTTTGCTCTGCTCTGGTCAGGCCTCACCTGGAGTATTTTGTCCAGTTCTGGACTCCCTGGTACAAAACAGACAGGCATCTCCTGGAGACAGTCCAACAGAAGGCCATGAGGATGCTAAAGGGCCTGGAGCATCTCCCCTGTGAGGAAAGGCTGGGTGACCTGGTTCTGTTCAGCCTTGAGGAAAGAAGACTGAGAAGGGATCTGATTAATGTTTATGAATATCTGAGGTGTGGGAGTCCGAAGGACACGGCCAGCCTCTTGTCAGCGGTCACTGGGGACAGGAGAAGGGGAAATGGCCGTAAAGTGGAGCACGGGAAGTTCCGCCCGTGGATGAGAAGGGAGTTCTTCACGGTGAGGATGGCGCAGCTCTGGAACAGGCTGCCCAGGGAGGCTGTGGCTTCTCCTTGTCTGGAGGTATTCCAGAACCGCCTGGACGCCCACCTGCAGCCTGCTGTAGGAGCCTGTTTTGCAGGGGGTTGGACTCAGTGATCCCTGGAGGTCCTTCCAGCCCCTGCAATTCTATGATTCTGTGATTCTGTATCTGTAACATTACTGAATGATGTTTTGGAGCCTAAGTTAGACAAGAACTTCCAGTCAGTAGCAAAGGCTGAGCCAACTGACCCATTTTTGCCCTTAACCATATTGATGGATAGCTCAGTTCAGTAAGACAGAGACAATACTCTGCACTGCTGCTGGGGAAGCCACTCCTGTTGCTCAAGCAGGAACTCCATGAATGCAAATCAGGTCAGGATAGTCAATGAAAGAACACTGCATCAGTCTACTTCATGTCCATGGACACAGGTGGGACTTTACAGATATCTGTACAGACTCATAGAATTTGCACAAAATCGTGCAAGTGAGAAATATCTCAGAAGAGCAGTGAAGCCAAAACCTGGTAGGAAGCATACTCCCAAGAGAAAATAAAAGGGTTCTGTTTGCTGGTGTGCAGGAGGGTGATGAAGTGCTCTCCTTCCAAGTGTTAATCCCTTATTGTCAGACCAGGAAGACTGGAGACAAAACAGAGTATTTCTCTGTGCTTTTTCAGTGACAGCCTTAGACAATCCTTGACTGGGATGGAAGCAGATCAGCATAGCTTCAGAACTGCAAGTGAGGCCGGTGCTGCCTCACCATGCCAGGAGAGATCTCACACACATGGGAACAAGGCTTCAAATGAGATTTTCCTGCACTGACACACAGGAATCAAGGCGACTCAAGCAATTCCATTCAGCACGCGGACGCTACTAAACCACGTTTCCCTGTTATATTCGTGCTGACAGTACCAGGCAGCAGCCTGCATGATTCTGAGCCAGGTTCAGCAATACTCAGTAGGTGACAGGAGGACCTTGAGAGCCGTGCTTTATGTCCATTTCTCCAGCAACATGGGGCCAGTCTTCCTCCAGGTGACCACCAGCACCCAACGCAGCTGGGTTCTCTGAGCAGAGGCATTTCCCACTGAGTGGGATCCACCAAACACAAATCTTTACCAGCAAGAACTACAAGTCACGAACAGGAGAATGGAAAGGGCAGAAAGGAAGCAAAGGCCAATGGCACAACCTGGCTGCTGCTGGGGAACGCCGATGGTTGTGATGCTTTCACCAGCAGAGTGGCCCCACGACTGCTCCACAACCCTAAACGTGGCATTTAAACGCACGCAGACGCATTTTGGATAGACAGCACAACACATCCTGGCTTCTGCTAGCGGATGAGGATCCGCTGACCGCATTTCCTAGGAAAGCCCCTTCCCAAGACTGCACAAATCCTCACCTGTTAATTGAACTGACGCTGGGCACGGTGTCGTTATCACACACTCGCTCCGCGAGGAGTCTATCCCTGATCTCCCAGGCAAACATGGTGGGATTTTGGCGTTTGTACTCTGCAATTTTTTCGACAACTTTGGGTGTGGCGACCTTTGGTTTTGATCCTCCAATCACTCCAGGCTTAATGCTCCCGGTTTCATAATACCTGGGACAACATCCAAAGCAAATCTTCAGTTATCGCAGGCAGACAGAAGGCACGCTTCGAGATTTGTAGAGAACATAATTTCAAGGTAACCAAACCCCAGCAAATCCTAAGATACATCTTCACTTTCACGTACACATTTTCTGCCTATGTAGTGCTTTATCACCTAATAGATTAACTTATAGTAATTGGAACTGGGCCGTAGGAGGGAACAGATATTTTCTCATAACAGAAAGACAAAAGAAACAATGCAAGATTAAAGGGCGTGCTGGTATCCAAAATTAACTGAAAATGTGTGTAATTAATCAGAGGTTCTGGCAATAACAGAAACAAATCTCACCGAAGACCATTTTTTGCAGTAAATTCTTGTATCTAAGGAAATACTCTGTCACCAACATCTACAACTTGTTAGCATTTCATCGTGAAGCGAGGGCATGAGATCATCTTTTATTTGCATATTAGCAGCTAATATGCTGGCATGCCTTTTCCACATTTTGTGGCTTTAATATGCATGCTGTTGCTTTAATAGTTAATGTTTTTCATAACAGATATATTTTTAGTATGATTCTTCCAGTAGTTCAGATGAGAAATGTTAAGGAAAGGGGAGTTCTTGGCATTCCCAGCGGGCTCAGCTGGTTTGGGGGTTTGTTTTTCTGACCAGCTCTGCAATCCTTCCTCACAGATACGATTTCTACTCGTGCAAACAGTTCTGCTGATGTCATACAAGCAAAGCAGGTAGGATGGAGTCCTGACACTGACCAAAATATGCCAGATGGATGTTTTTTTGCATGCAAATCACAGGCACAACTGCTTTTAGCACGACTGCAATAAAGCATGGTAGTTGAGCTCCTCAGCCCCACACATTTCTCTCTTGTAATAAGGAAAGCTTTGAAAATGCTGTTAAAAATGTTGTGTCTGATCCACTCAGGAGCAGGAGGGAGACGATGAGTGAAATCACGCTGAGCACCCAGGGAGCACAACACACACAGTGTTCTCAGGGTTGTGCACTTTTTGCTGTCCTGTGAATTTTGTTGATGAAACACAAATCTGCAGTCTCTGCAGCCATTGTCTGAGCTGCCCCTTCCAGCCAGCAACCACTGAGCTGTGCTCCCTTACAGTCTCAACTCACCCACTGATCGCTCTGTGCCCTTATTTCTCATAAGGAGCTCTGAAAAGACTCTCAGATAAGAGCAGCATGTTTGTTTTTGTTTTTGTTTTTGTTTTAATCAGCCTATTTTCTCTGCAGTTACTTGACATAACCATTATATCCAAAATAATGATGATAATAATAATAAATTCTGAACTATTTCCAGCACAGCAGAACACAAGCAGGCTGCACAGCCAAAGTCTGTCTGACTGTAACATACAACAGCGCTCATCAGATTTCTGCCAGGCTGCTGGCTCTGTCTTTCAGGGAGAGCTCTGTGTGCAGGTCCTGCACAGGGCTGGCACTGCAACGTTTGTGCATGTTTGCAAACATTCTGGGTGCAGATGCAGACTGTCTCAGCAGCCATTCAGGCAATATTAGTAATGGGCAGCTTCAAGTGTCAAAGACAGATCAACCCTTGAGGCATTCCTAAACCCAGCCCAGCAACATGCTTTAGTGCAACAGGGGTACAGTTAAGCTGCTCTCCCATTTAGTTTCCAGAGGACCATAAGATGGTACACTTGGACAACAAACCTCCCTAACCCTTGCATCCCTGGTTTCATCCCCTGTTCTGGTGGCATCTTTCTGCTAAGAAAGGACATGGAGAAAAGCTGTGCAGCGCACGATGGTGCAACAGAATGCTGTTTCCTCAGTCCATTTCCTCAGTACCAGCCATCACTGCAGATGGGACAACATGCCTTGGTGTTTTCCTGCCACACTGCCCTGCTGCTCCCATGCACGATGTCCCACGGCTCAGCCCTGCTGCTCGGGACAGCCCAGGTGGCCATGGTATAGCACATGAATATGGAGTGATCCAGACAGGGACAACACAGTGCCAAGCACCCAAACCACTACCTGCCAACCTGCCCCAGCTGCCTCGAGCTTCACAGCATCACACACATGCTCAGAGTAGGTTGCTCTCACACCCAGAGCCTGCTCTCACACTCAGCCTGCGGTCACCATGGGTGCCCAGTGCGCGGTGACACTTCTGTTATTGCCTTCTGCCCACGCAGACAATCCAGCGAGGAGCAGAAGGCAAAGGAGGGCTGCATGGAGCAGCTCCACTCTGGGGCCAGGCTTGCTGCAGCAGCTGCATCCCATTCACAAAAGGCCCAGGGGCTCCAGGCTGAGGAGTCCCATCACGACGTGCCGAGGGGCAGTGTGCTTCACAGGGATCCTCGGTTTTCACACACACGCACAGAGTTCCAATTACAGTGACATTTTGCCCACTGTAATTATTAGTTATGAAAATAATGAGGTATGAAATTACGATTTAGTTTTGACAACTTTAATGGCAAAGCTTTGGAGCTCCACTATCTGCTCTATGCTGCAGATGTGCCCAGTGATAAATTTGTTCCAACCTGCAGCACTAAAACCACCACACTCTGTGCCCATCAACACATCGCCCATTCTTCAGTACGCCAGTCCTGATGGGGCCGTCTGGACACTCACAGCACCAAGCAAAGCCTCCCCACCACACCTGGAACAGAGGCCTCCAGAGCACAGGCACAGTGCTCCAGAGAGGCAGAGCCCATGGCGGGCTCATGGGAAGCCCAAGGGAAGCTCCATCTCTAAGGGTAAAGCTGGTGGTGTTTCTACAGCCACTCCAGCATCAGCCCAGAGAGAGGCATGCAGCCAGCACCACAGTGCCTCTATGCAGCTGAGGCGCAGGACTGAGAGTGGAAGCACGGTGTGGCAGCTTGCTCCTCCAGCAGCACTCCATGCAGGGCATGCAGATAGCACCCGGCAGCTATAAGCTGGCTGCAGATAACAGCACGTTGTGGGGACAAGAATGCTGCCATCTATGAAACCAGGGGCCCATGACTACACCAATCACGTTTGCTTCTGAGCACTTAAGTGACTGAGAGATCACAAACGCTGCTAATCTGAGCCGGATCCCATGCTACCAAAAAGTGCTTTGACAGCCTCTGCATCTATTTAATGGTCAGTGAGGAAAATTGGTCAAAAAGTGGGAAACAGAGGGAGGGCACACATACAAACAGTACAATGTTAAGCAACAAAGCTAACTGTTAAAGTTTAGTAAATATCTCAGAAAGCAACTGTTTGAAATTATCAAACAAAATACATCATGAGAAAAAAAATACATATAAACATATAATACATGGGTAGCTCCAAATTTTGCACATAACGTGTATGTTTTTGCACATGATGTTCATGTTTGTATGGTGCTTGCGGCATTCTTAAACAGAATCGGTTTCACCTTTTAAACCAAAACCAGGAAATACCACAGACTTGGGGAGTAATGTGCTGTCACCACACTGATCTGAGCAACCTCGATCTGAACGGAAAGATATTTCCAAAATCCCACCATCTAAGGCTGTTCATAGAGTTCCTGGTACTCCGTGCTCTCATGTTCCAGCACAGGAGTAGGAGAGGGCACAAACTGAGCAGTGGGCTGGATTTCTGAGAGAGCTGTGTGTGAGCAGGCAGGTGTCACGTCCCGGCCATGCAGAGCGGTGGAACCGCCCAGAGGAAGTCTTCTCCAGCACACAGCGTGGTGACTTCTGTTCCACCTCCGCTCCCTCGTGCTGGAGACGACCGCTGGGTTCCCACGTGCTCAGAGCAGACAGGTGTGGGATGCATGCTGTGCACGGCAGAGCTGGCCCATGTGGCACAGCGCGCTTTGCGTTAGCGTTGCCCGTTAGAGGCTGTGCGAGGGGCAAAGCATACAAAGCGCTCCTCTTTTCCACGTGGGGCTGGCAAAACCCGGAGCGGCCATCGCGAGTCCCGAACCCACTTGGGCCCGGGACGCCCTCCCGCTGCGTACCTGCCGAGTATTTTGCTGACGCAGCCGTGGCTGACGCGGAGCTGCCTGGAGATGTCGCACGGCCTCACCCCCTGGTGCGCCAGCTCCACGATCCGCTGCCGGACGACGTCGGGCAGGGGGCGGCCATTCACGAAAACGCCCCCCAGCTGGTTCACACCTCCGTGTCCTGCAACACACGGGGAGGGGAAGGGGCAGGAGAAGAGCGGCTCGGTCAGAGGCGGGACGCGTTTCCCCGCGGCCGCCCTCGGCGCCGGCAGAGCCGCCCGGGCCACGCTGCGTTCCCTCCGGCGCGGAAGCGGCCGCGCTCCCCGCAGCCCCGCACCCCGTTTTACGCCGCGCAACGCGGGGGGTCCGCAGCCCTCCGCTGGGGAAACGGCAGCGGGAGCGCAGCGAGAGTCCCGGCCCGGCCGTGGGGACATCGCTCCTCCGAGCGCCGCGCGGCCCGGGGCTCCTACAGCCCTGCGATCGCTGCTTGTTCGGGGTCTCCGGAATTAAACGAGTAGGGTTTTTTTTGTTGTTGTTGGTGGGTTTTTTTTGTTTGCTTGTTTGTTTTGGGGGGAGGAGAAGGGGGTTGTTGGTTGTGTTTGTTTGTTTATTTGTTTTTTCCTCCAAATTGCTGAAGTTAATCGAGAGTGAAAAACAGTGGCTTCAGCCGTAACAATTTATGGCGCTCTTAGGTAGCGTTACCATCCCACAAATGAAACGTGAGCGCCGAGCCGAGCCCGGCGCGCCGCTCGTCTTGCAGCAGGTTGGCACTGCTCTCCTTAGCGAGGTGCCCGGCGGGACACGGGGCCCGCTCAAAGTGGGGGAGCTGCGTAAAACCCATGAACGTGAAGGCAGCACTCCGTCCGCCAAGTGAGAAAATGCAATTAGCCCTCGTGGCGCTAACCATCAGAATTACTCAGGCTGCGGAGTGGGGAAATTGAAAACAAACAATGCGGGCAGCGCGGGTGACAATGCTGGAACAAAAATAAAAGAAAATCTCCCTGTTTGCACAGGGAACCCGAACGGTCCCGAATAAATTGACAAGTCAAATGCCTCCACGGAGTTAAAAAATAAAAAAAAATAAATAAATAAAAATAATTTAAAAAAAGAATTAATAAAAAAAAGTAAAGAATAAAAAACTACTTTTATTTTAATTTTTAAGTCATTTCTCCGTTGATATATTGATGTCAAACTTTGCCAACACTTCCAAAGCTGTCAAGGCACATAATTAATCCACGTGAGATGCGTGATTGCTGCAACCTGCGGGGCGAGGGCAGCTCCGCCTGTACCGGCGGTGGAAGCGTCCCATCCCCGCGGCCAGGCCGAGCCCTGGATGTGCTACCAGCCGTGTCCAGAGCGGAGTGGGGCACCGCGGTGGCCCGGGACTGCAGCAACTCCGGGAGAGCCGGGAACTGCTGCCCGACCGAGCTGGGAGAGAAACGCAGCGCTTCAGCGAGGGCAAAACGTGGGGTCAACATCTCAACGTGGAAATGAGTGGGACCCCGAGCTCGGCACCTATCGGCGGCTTTCGATATAAGAAATCAGAGGCAATGTGCTCAATGCCAGTGATGAAAATCTGCGGGTGAGGGAGGATGGGAGAGGGATGGAGGTAGGAGGGAGAAAGAAACAGAAAAGAAAGAAAAAAGGAAGGAAGGAAGGAAGGAAGGAAGGAAGGAAGGAAGGAAGGAAG